GTCAAGGCCTGACGCCGATTGTTGTCCGGAAGCCAATCTCGTAGCGAACGGATCTTCCCGCCGAAACCAGCGGCAAGGAAGATGCCAACAGGGCCCGGTATTTGCACCAGGAGCTCTTTCTCCTGACCGTCGGCACCGATGCACCTTTAGGGAAGTAGAGGCTGGGTTTCGTGTCGTTGCTCATGACGCATTCAATGGCCCGTGGGTGAAAACACGAACACTCTTGCAGTCACACAATATAAGCCCTCCATGGTCAGTTCCGGGTCGGAGATATGATATGCGGCGGTATCACATCGTGTCAGTAGAGTGAGCCTCGTATGAGCTGGACGTGAGTCTTGTCTGCCGTGTATAAGAAGAGAGCTCTGCCCGCACACGCGCACGCACAGAAGCATCGGCCACCATGAACATCTGAGCCAGCGCCCTTCATATCAGACCATACGTTTGAACAGAACGATCGTCGGAAATGATGGAAGGCTTTCACCGTCAACCAACTCGGCTCATGTCGAGGCTTGCATGCATGCTGAGGCGTACCTACAATCGACCATCATCAGCCTACGCATAGGAGACATAAGAGATCAATGACAACATACTTCGTGAGTTAGAGCACAACAGGATCTTATGTGTAGAGGATAGCGTGTAGGGCACCAAAAAGATCAAATCGATACGACAAGCATGTTAGTAGCGCAAGACGGGAATGGAGAACGATAGTGAAGCTCGAGAAAGACAGAGATGAGATCAAAGAGGGGACGGTAACATAGGACACTACAACGTGCAATGATACGTCCAAGGGCTATGCACGACGCAAAGGAGATGGGAGCGATAGCGCGCCGACCGAGCTTGCCTCCCGGTCGCCATTCAGCCGAGTAGATGTACGTCGAACTAAATGGACAAGGTCAGTGAGTAGTCCATGCAAAGCAGTGCGGGAACCGCAGGCAGCGGCTTACTGGTGCCCATCGAAATCAAGTTGTGGCCCATAGCCTTGGTCGCGCTGCAGATCATTCGGGCGATGCGCCGCGCCGCGCCCCACTGTATACGAGCACGAAGAACCTCGCCCGCGGTAGCCAACTTCACGCCGTGCTCGTTCTCGCGGCTCCCGTACATCATTCAGGTAACCCAGTATGGTCCTCCCCATATCATGCCAATCCCAGTCATGGCTCGCCAATCGAGCTGTTACCAGAATGCTTCATGAGAGTGCCCAGAATTATTGCAGAATCGTCCGAAACACGATTGAAATATCGTATGCTGACTTGGAGCCGGCCGCGATCTCAATGAAATCTATAAAACTGTCGACTGTCGCCTCTGCATCCGAACGAGGGAGACTGACGGGCTGCGATCGTGTACATAGCCTAGGGGCGGCACAGACAAAACGTTCGGTAGTAGTTGTGGCTTCGCGATACTAGGGACAGGACCAAAGACGATGGGATGGGGGCATTAAGAAGATGAGAGGACGAGGAAAAAGATCATGACATTCGAATGTTGGTGCACGTGCGTGCAGGTGGGAACCGTGAGGTCCGAGATTTCCAAGATGACGCGACTTTTCCGCTCCCGTGTTTGGTTTCGCCCATGACCGACTACTACCAGTACGAGATCCGTTCTTAGGCAGTGCATGGGACCGTCAAGACCGGAGGGTGAGCGAGCTATGAAAGGCGTGTTCTGCACGCTCTTTCGCGAACAGCTACTGTCCAAACTTGAATCGTGGCATTCGCTTTCCCGCATGGTGGATTACGGTTTCGGAGTTCACCAGTGAACTTCGACTAGGGGCCGTCTTCGGGCGTAGGTCCGCTCGCTGATGACGGACAAGTTCGGTTGGGCGCGATGATCTATGCAGCGGACCCGGGCTAGAGGTTGACCGGGCCTTCTTCAGAATCAGATCCACGCAGACCCACTCCATCATATAGTAGGCTCTCACACCCACTGGACTTTATTGACAAAGTGAGTGTTATGCTTGCTTACCCCGATCTGAAGCTGAATACCTGACGTGGAATATCTAGGTCGCAATCGCCCGAGCACAGATGACATTCGCCGAGAAGCAGCTTGTTGTGAGCCTCGGTGCGCCGCACGACTTTCGGGCGTCATTCGTATTGACCAGGAGGCATATACGCGCTAGCAGGAACATCTGGGTGAAACGCGCTCATCGGTGATGGCGTGTCCATCGGCCATGTCACGCCCATCGACGACTGATGACCGACAATGGCGAGGTCAGTTCACTCGGCCTTTACAGGCAATGTACCTGATCACTGAGGCCTGTTGCGGAGGGTTCAGATGCTGCGGAGGCAAGGCACTGACGGGGTGTTCCCACTTCTGCTTGCCGCAATCTGCCTTGCGCGCCTTATACACCGTCTCTTTTGTACTATGCTGCATATACGATTCACATCGTGATCAAAGGGGAATGACACCATTATATTCCTGTCCCAGCTTTGGTAGTTGTCCCGCTCCTTCCGTCTTGCTTTTGTACCTCATGCTCCTGGAAATTGGCTCTCTGGCATCTTCCATGCGTATTCACTATGATCTTATCTTGATTCAGTGCCGTAGCAGTATACACAGCAACTACTTGGTGCCCTATCTCGAATTTGCGTGGGGAGACTGATACCCCTCACAGTCCCTCATTCGTGACCGTCGTATATACGTACTGGACCCCGCCGCTGTAGTCCATCGTTTACTAGTACACGGTCTTTGCGCGATTGTGTACTTGCGATTGAGCGCAGCTCTCCTCTGCCTGGTCAGAACACTGCTCACTTGATCAAGGCCTTCGCCTGATCAACATCTCCCTCATTGAACGCCCACGATATTCAACAGGCTCCCGATTGAGCGCGAGCGGCCAACACTGATTATGACCGTCGCTTGATTGAATACGACTCCGCCCGGTCAGGGCGGCGTACTTGATCAAGGCCTTCGCCTGATCAACATCTCCCTGATTGAACACCCACGATATTCAACAGGCTCCCGATTGAGCGCGAGCGGCCAACACTGATTATGACCGTCGCTTGATTGAATACGACTCCGCCCGGTCAGGGCGGCGTACTTGATCAAGGCCTTCGCCTGATCAACATCTCCCCGATTGAACACCCACGATATATATTCAACAGGCTCCCGATTGAGCGCGAGCGACCAACACTGATCGTGATTGTCGCGTGATTGAACACGATCCGCCTGGTCAGGACGCCGAGGCCTTCGCCTGCAGCTGATCAACCAACATCGCCCTGATTAAACACCCCCGATATTCAACAAGCTCCCGATTGAGCGCGAGCGGCCAACACTGATTAGTATGACCGTCGCTTGATTGAATGCGACTCCGCCCGGTCAGGGCGACGTACTTGATCAAGGCCTTCGCCGATCAACATCTCCATGATTGAACACCCGATTGAGCGCGAGCGGTCAACACTGTGATTATGGCCGTCGCTTGATTGAACATGACCCCCCCGGTCAGAACACCATACTTGATCAAGGCCTTCGCCTGATCAACATCTCTCTGATTGAACACCTATGATATTCAACAAGATACCCTCCCGATTGAGCGCGAGTTTCCCGCCCTCAGTATCCCACCTTCGGGGCTCGCGAAAGCCAGTACTACCCACTTCTGATTCGATGCGGCTTGGGACGGTTCGGGAAGGTCACTGCTTGACGCGGCTCGGCGCGGCTTGAGTACGTTCATATGTAGTAGTAATGTACGAACTTTAGCGGGCTCGCCCGTACCCACTCCTCACGTGCTTGCCGTGCACTCGTGTGTTCACTGACTCGCGCGCGACGCGTCTTGTCCGTAACCACCACAACCCGTCGTTCTCTCCTCTGCTGCACCCTCCGCTCTCTGATTCGTCCCTTGAATGTGGTACCTCGCTCGCTGTTTATGGCGCGATGGTCACCTGGCTCTCTCCTGTACGGCAATCCGGCGCTTCGCTGCGTGCTACAGGCCGCGTACTCAGTGTGACATGGCCCCGCCTGCGTCGGGCTGACGGTTAGTGGCCACCTTGATTACTTGCTATGTTCCTCACACTTTCCGCTAGACGCGGCTGTGCGCATGTTGGCATGATCGTTAGCTCGGCGTGAGCTAATTTGAAGGGTGCGTTCGGTGTATGCTTTTGCGCCATCTTCGCTGACGACGGCTTCTCAGCCTTGTTATACTTTGCGCGAGATAGTTTACATGTGCATATCGTGTGCGCTGGGTGGTGGGTCTGGGAAGTGTCATATTTCAGGTACGTCGCTGTGCCCATTTGCCTTTTTGGATGTCCTCTTCTAACCGAGAGTGGATCGTGTCCGCATCATAGGTGTCTCGTCTAACATTGCCTCGCAAGACCTTACCATGGATGGATCGCCCGACGTAGACACCACTCGTAGGCGCTCGAGAGAGAGAGAGAGAGCTCGTAGGCTGCTCAGCAAGCTTAGCTGAGCCTCACCGAGCGTCCCGAGCAGTGTCGAGCGGGGGAGTGGTTTCCCTGATGCCTACTCCATGACCGTTGACCACAACCACAGACAACCACCTGCCTTTCCAGTTGCCTCCAGAAGTATGGCAGTCACGTCTGCGTGACAGCACATCTCCGGCGTGCTCTGCCCTTGCCAGCCCCTCTTGCTGCTGCATCTTATTTTCCCAATTTACTTTGTCATTACATGTTATCCTGGTTTGTTGCGTTTCGTATAAGGAAATCACATGTACTTCTCTTCACAATTTCAGTCGTAGCAACTTGCTTTGACAATTTGAACCTTCGTATCGGATACTCGATCAGTGCATGTGAACCAGCTTTGTCACGATTGAGCGCCCGTACGCAAATCAATCAGGCACACGTCATTGGATCATGATCCTATTCATCACCGATCAATTAGATTCAACGACCATGTAGACGTGCACTTGCACCTTGAATACTCGGTGACGAAGTATCGCTTGGACTGGCACATCAAGCACAAATGCCATGGAGATGACTCCTACCGCAAACCTCACAGTGATAAGAGTACCGGATTTACCTGTGTGTCTGTTTTGTTCGGGATTATCAAATCGCCCCTTGAGACTGATGGGCGATTATCAAACCCGTGCCAACCACGGCTGTCCAAAGTTCATCGGATCCGCAAGCGACATGCTCGAAAAGCTGATGTCAGTACATGCACTTGAGCGCATCACATACGGCTTGACATGCCTTGCATCCGAAAAGACCCGTGCGTGTAAACATGACTCCATATGACCGGCGCCTGTGGGCTTATACTGGATCCACACAGCTCAGTGTTATGTACTTGTATGCGGACTCCGGACCCTTGTGTCAGACGTGCGAATTGCTCAGCTTCGCAAGCTCGGCTCAACCTCGGCCTGGTGTCTACCTCTGTTCCGTTTCCGCAAAGAATTGAGAAGGACCTGGCTACCTAGCTTAGAGGCGCTCAGGAGTGTCTCGATTGCGGATACCGAAGACGGGCAGTTCGCCGATCTCCTTGCTCAGTGGCAATCCTTGGGTACCGCTCTAGAGCTCGACGAGAAGAAGGAGCGTGAACAGTTCGACAAGTATGGCGGTAGCGTGTTGCCGTCTCGTTGCTCCTGGAAACAGTGCAAACACCGTTCGCGCAAGCCTTTGGGTCGACTCCTCATGTGCAAGGGGTGCGGCGAGGCGGCCTACTGCGGCCGGCCGTGCCAAGTATCGTGCGTTCTTCGTCTTCTGCAATCCCGGGTGTGCTGGGGTTAATCATGACCGCAGGCATTGGAAGACAGGCGGCCACAAGCAAGAATGTCGGCGCATCAAGGGCGCTTAACTTAGTTCTCGTTGACATGATCCCGATTTGGGTGCACAAACTATCCTTCGTTTCACTTGATTTCACTCGCAACTTGTACCACCCCGCATCACCACACACTATACCAGTATGAATTGCATCTTATGTACTTTCACTGCGCGATCTTGCTAGCGACGCTACTCCAGAAGCTACGATGGGGCGTAAGCGTCACAGTCCATCGATGTTCACGAGATATGAACGTACCTGCATCTTTTCAACACCTGCTCATCCGTCTTCATCGTCCGGACCACAGGTTGAGGATCTTCACCCTCCGTCTGATTGAAGAGCATCTCTAGACCGCTCTGACTCCATGTCGGCCAGCTTGGGGTGATGACCGGCGGCACAGGCGCAACGCTTGGGTTCAGCGCGGTAGCCATCGCGAAGAACGCCTGCGAGAACGCGTGCTGGAAGTCGGTGTTGGGAAACGTCGTCGGGTTGCCGTAGAATGTTTGACTGAGTTCGGGATCAGTTAAGGGTGCGATGACGTATCTGAGGGTGTGCAGTACGAACTTCGTGAAGAGGTAGTTCAAGTCTTCGCCGTGGATACCAGCCGGGATCGCAAACAGGCCCTATTGCGTAAGACGCGTTCATTCATGTGTAGAAGCTCCAGCATTGCGTAGCTTACCTTCCAGACCTTGCTGGGGAACGCGTCAAGCACATCATAAGCGGGGCATATGAAGATAGCTAATGTTTATCAGCACATAAGCACTGCATCATGCGCACCAGTGCAGACTCACACTCTCCCATGACCAGAGCAGATGTATCGGTGATGTTGGTGAATCCAGCATCGGAGTACAGGGAAACGGCAGTATTGACTTCCTTGTGGGTAAGGCGAGGGAACATCGTCGAGATGTACTTGTCGAGAGTGAAGTTGTCGGCTATCAAGGTGGGAGGATTGACGAAGACGGTGCCCTCGTGCGTATTAGAGAAAACAAGAGCGGTGTCCTGTTTCGGAGTTAGATGTGCTGAATCACGGTTTGGGACGTGCAGTACGCACAACATTGGTATGACCCTTGCGCAGAGTTATAGTCGGGCGCTCAACGATGAGCTCGCCATCCACGACGGGATTCATCGTGAACGTCCCCATGAAGTTGGCATCGGCGACTCCGAGGTCGGCCGCAATGAGCTTTTCCGGGCTCACGTCGCGCAAACAGTCCAACGTGTTCTTGCTCGAGGAACAACTATACAAGGACAATGAGCGTCGTGCTGATATGCAAAAATGAAGCCGGAGTCACCTGACGTTCTTTGCTAGCGCTTCGTATACGTTCTGCGTTTTATTGGCGATGGCCCGTGGATGACGCAAGTTTGGCGTACCTCTGCGACCGGATCGTCGTATGCAAACTGGAAGGGCAAGAATGGGGAGCTCATCATTGCCGCGCGGAAGAGCGGCGGCTCGGTATGACCGCCGTGGGCAACGAGATGTTGCAGCACAGAGCCGGCGCCGGCAGACTGACCATAGATAGTCACCTTGTTGGGATCACCCCCAAACTTGTGGATCTGAGGGCGTAGTGAGTTGCACGGACCAAAACCTCAAAGGGAGGAGCATGGCATACATGCTTCTGGATCCACTCGAGCGCGAACTGCTGGTCGACTGATGAATGTGCCTTCAGATGTTGAACTCTTGAGAGGGTACCGAACACATACGCAAACCAGCGTTGAGATTTCCGTGACGCTTTACCTCTTTCCCTGCCAAGAAGCCTATTGTCCTCAGTTAGCTGAGTGTGCATCCATTTCACCATTCACGCACCAAAGGCCGCCAAGCGGTATTGTATATTGACGGATATCAGCTTGTGCCCCGAGTCGCGTACGAATAGCTCCGCTGGGTAGAAAGCGTTACTGCCCGAGTCGTAGCTGAACAGGCATACAGCGCTGGGCGTTACAGAGATGATCGTCTAGAACGCACCCGCCACCATGTATCCAGACGAGAATCGGTAAATCCTCTTTCTTGCGCGCTTTCTCACTTAGGTCGAGCGAAGAGGGCACATGGACGCTATAAGATGGTCATCAGGATCTGCCGAGAGCGCTTGACCCCAGAACTCACTTGAGGAAGAGACAATCCTCATTCGAGGCTGGTTCAGGGTCTGTATCTCGCTTGAAGTATGGGCTGTACGCCGTCTGTCCTTCGCCAGCGTCTTGCCAGCATTGATTCGGTTGTTGAGTCGCGTTTTGCACTCCTTGGATATGAGACGGCGCTCGAGGAGCGCGGAACCGAAGATCTCCTGTCATGAGCATAAGCATATGCACAAGAAGTAGAAAGGAAGTGAAGACGTACCAACAGGCGGTGCCGCGTACCGCACTCCAAGGAAGCTTGTCACGCCTTCTGCCAGCGAGACATCGCTCTGATACTTTGCGTAACCGAGATTGACGGTCTTGAGGGACGAGTTGCGTGCATTCGCAGATACAGCCGAAGCGGAAAGGAGGGCGAACGTGAGTAGGATCATGGTCAGCGCGACCCCCTTACACGTTCTGCCGCTTCCAAAGCCCTATATGAACGAGCAGAAGGGTCTCATCGCTGTCCCCTGACATTACACATTTGGGATCATGTGGATGTTCATAATATGAGCGCGGCCGCGGGCATGGTCGGGAGTATCATGACGAAGGTGTTCGAGAAGGCGAAAGATGTGGCGAAGGGTCATCTGCTCGTTGAGCGCGGTGGCGAGCGGGCCGTGCGCCATTTTGCCGACGGTCTTCCGTCTTCAGAGTGATCAGTAGCGCGTGAGCTGCATCAGTGCGTTGCATAGCTATCAAGGGGTGCTCGTGTCACAAGGACCAGTCGCTCTTGAGAAAACTCGCCGGCCTGATGTGTCGAGGGTTAGAGGACGTTTAAAGTGCTACCGATGGGATATTCCATTCCAAGGCTCTCGCGTACGTTGAGCCGTTGAGAAGCGCATTCCTAGAAAGCAAAGCAGTAACTCCAGCGCGAGGCTGATGGTGTGTATTTCTCGGGTGAGCAACAAGCCACGCGCTCCCAAGACGGGATGATGGCGGTTCGTGTCAGCTTGTGTGGCGCTAGGGTTGCGCTAGGACCGCCTTCGTGCTCGTCGGACCTTTCAGGCCGATCACGCTCACTGCGGCAGATGGCAGAAAGCACCTCTCCGAAGCTTGCCTTCTCCTTCGCCGTTCATGCATGGAGGCGGACTTCTCAATGAACGATCCTAGGATCGATCGATGGTACACTATCGCAATGGCTCTCAGGCAGGGTGATCATTAACTCCGTGCTACTTCATGGGCACGGGTCGCCGTGCCACCAAGTCCTATAGATTGGGCTGCCTATCGAAGACTTGTACGAGATGTAGTCATGCATTCGGACTCGATCCACCGCGGTGACAAAATGATGTGTCTACTACAGGCGTGTCTGAAGCAGCCATCGCCTAGATGATGTACTGGGACGTGCCCTTCCCCATGTCGGATTACCTACGCCGGAGTGGGACGTGGATACGTATCAAGCGCGGATACATATCCCGAGACGATAGGAACATTTTGCGGAAAGGCGGACCTGTGAGATATGATATAAGCACATCAGATCAGAGCAAAATGGGCGACTATCTTAGTGCCACACCACTAAACTTGAAGCCATCCATCTCTTCTGTACGGTTTCTCTCCTGTGCGCCTTCGCATTAACGACACAGGCGACTCATGCACCTGCAAGAAGATGGAAATAACGAGGGTTCCAGCGAAAGCATGTGCCAAAGGCGCGGGTTGAACGTTGATCGTGCGGGTTTAGGTGAGCTCCAGCCCCTCAGGTTGACTCGCCCTTCGGCCATTGGGCGAGATGTTGCTTTTGATCGTAAGACGAGGCGAGAGAGCCTGACGAGTAGGTTCCATGTGCGCAAACTTGAGCCAAATCTGATGTGTGGCGTACAGGACCTGACTATATCGGGGGGCAGGTGAATACGGCCCACAGGATCAACACGCATACTCCGCTCTCGTGCAGGGGTCAGATTGTAATAAGGCTCGAATAAGTCATGCAGTTTCCTGATCCTGGTATTAGGATGTTGAGGGACTTCGCTCTGGCTAGCGATCATAAGACGCCATATGCATGCCGTCGGTAATCAAAGATCGTCGACCAGTTCGGATTCAGTCTGCTTGGAAGTCCGCTACACGCATGTGGCGTGAGGCGAGGACAGACGCAGACGAGTCATGCACGTTGGTGCCCCCTGTTCCCCGCAGTCATTCGCGGAGACGAAGGTTGGACTTTGCAGTGCGCTGTTGCTTGAATAAGGATATTGAATGCCGAAGTGAGGAGATCGTCAGTGGTCGAGGTCATCATAGCGCCGGTATGAGCTCGATAGAGTTTTGCATAGGTTCAAAAGCCATATCGGACGTGCCTCGCATAACGTCGAAGCCGCTGCGCTGTCGGAACAGCGTACGGATCCCGATACGGTACAGTGAGAGCGGACGTTCGGCCGTAGACCGCGGCCGCCACAGGATCATCGTCAAAGTAAAGCGAAGTAGCCGAGCTCGATCGAGCTTGAGAAGCCGCAGACGAGTACGACAAGAAATCCAGGCCAGCCGTTGGTTGAGAGGGACGAAGCGGAGACCATTATCCGACATGCTGCTGGACCCTATAGACCATGATGGGGGCACGCGAGGCAGCGGGGCGCACGACGACGTATGTCAAGCCTGACAGGCTGTAGGCAGCGAAGCAAGAAGGACACGCACACGCGATGCCCCATTTTCGACTTGTGTCTAGCGCGCTGGACTCGCATGCGCACCGCCTCACAAAGCCGAGTCCGCCGAAGCGTCAAGTTCATCTTCGCGCTCTCACCCCACACGTTCACACGTATAGCAGTAGGCCTTCGAGTACGTTTCAAAGAGTGATATCATTTTCCACGCAAGTGAGTGGCTTGGGAATTGCCGAACGACGAAGTGCGATGAGGATGATGGCGGGAAGAAACAACGCGGCGCAACGCGCTCATCTCGCGGCTCATTCCCTCATACCCGTGCGTTCTCCTGTCGCCCAAGCTCTAATCGCGCCGCGATGCGCTCTCTGCGGACGAACCTTACTTACGGGCTGTACGAGCTAACCTAGCGGCTTGAAGATGAAGGCAGATCAGACAAGCGATCTTCCTCGAGACAGGTGTAGATCTCGCGCTATTGTGCGCGTCTGACAGCAACTTTGTACGTTTACAGCGTTGACTTGGCACCCACCGCTCCCGCAGCTCAACTAGTCAGACCCCGAGAGCCGAACTAGGCCGGCCGTGCGCGCGGACTACACCGACGTGTGCCTTTTGGCCTGAGCCTAGACTTCTTACCTGGTCGCTAGCAGCTGGCGGGGTTAGTAAATAGTGATTGGGGTGCAGTCGTACAGGCTCTCTGAGCGTAACCAGAGACCGGTCTAGACGACTGAGAAGCTAGACCGAAGGTACAAGCTTGCTCATCGCTCGTGGACGATCAGATCACTACCTTGAGGCTACCAAAATTGGTTCTGGCGCGCCGGCAGCCAGCTTCTGCAGCCGCGCTGACGCTGTCGTGGGGATCGACAGCAACATCTTTGAGCGCAGGCGGCCCAGCCCTTCGGTGGTATCCGACGACGCGCAGTGACCTCGTTGCCCGAAAGGCGTACATAACCCTCAACGACGTGCGTGCCTGTTGTGAGACGCAGGTTCGCAACTTCCACTTCGGGGCCACAGTCCCACGGTCCTGACGGGTGTTACTTCACTGGCGCCCCGCCCGCCGGCCAATAAGTTCTTTCTCCCTTACCTCCACCACTGCCCCACCACTTCTCATTCGTTCATTCACGCCTTCAATTCATTGTTCATTTCCTGCCCTCGCACTCGAAAAAGCCGGCTCTTGCACGGCTCAGCCTCGCACAGCCCCCGCTCAAACGGTGGTGGAGTCAGCCGGAGGCAGCGAGTCCAACCGGTGCGTTTGACCAAATTCGGTATATGGCGGCTGCTTATAGACCTCTTACAGGTCTCAAAACTTCCCTGAAACGACCATGTCTATTGCGCAGACGCTGCCCGTCGAGATACTCGCCGCCGTGTTCGAGTATGCGCTCATCCGGGACGCCAAACTTACCGCGTCTTCGGCATCACTCCTCCGACCGCTCTCGCACGTCTGCTCACAGTGGTACTGGGCCGCCCAAGCTTACAGTGCGTTGTGGCGCGATATATCGACGCGCGCCGACTCGCCAGCCTGGGTAGACGCTTCACTCGCCCGCTCACGCACCGCGCGCAACCTCCAACTGGATGTTTCAGTGGATAGGGTCTCAGCATCAGCACCGGTCCCTACCCATGTAGCTCGCATACTCGCCGAGGCCGGCCGTGCACGCTGCCTTTCGCTTTCCGGGCCTGCACTTGCCTCCCGTCTACGGTACCTTCCGCAAGGACCCCTATCCCGCTTAACGAAGCTGGTGTTAACGACACACCTCGAGCCCTCGCTTGAACCCGAAGACGCTGAAACGCTGTTCAAGCACGAGATGCCCCGCTTGAAATGCCTTGATACCGTCAATTGCTTACTACCCTGGGCGTCGACGTGCTGGGCTGAGATTGGAAAGACACTGTCCAAACTCTCATTGGGATCTATCGCACCTGCCTCGCGGCCCAGTCCGCGCGAACTACACTCGTTTCTCTCCTCCCTACCTGCTCTCGAGAACCTCCGCCTTCACGACGTACTGGCGATTTACCCACCCGCAGGTTCGCCGTCGGGCGCGGCGGTTCCGGAGATAACTCTACCACGGTTGGAATTCCTGATTATCAACGAGAGCAGTGTTCCGAGCACGGCGGCTTTCCTCAGCGCCGTTGTACGGGAGCGCAGCGACTGCTGTCTCAACATCACATTCGAGACGCGCCGACCCTCGTCTATGACATTGTTGATGCACGTAACGGCGCTTGCAGCCGCTGCAAGTTCATTCTTGCGACTACCCGCGTCGCCTGCAACACCGGAGGCTTCTCCCGCCGTCTCATCTCCCCCACGCGAGAAACACAACATGAAGTTGTGCGAGACGAGCGAACGCTCAATACGGCTTGACCTGCGCTCTGCGACGTCAGGCGTCGCTCTATGTAGCCTCCAGATACTCACGGATGCAGCAAACTCATCCTCTGGAATGGCGCCGTACGCCCTCCCGCCTTCGCCGCCCTCGTCTACCACCCCATTACCCGCGACAGAAGATGATAATGATTGGGTGGCTGCCCTGCCCCTCGTCTTCTCGCATGCGCGGCCGATGCATTCGTTTGAGGTGGACTCGCTCGCGTTTCAGCACGCGCGTCCTTGGTTATGGTCCTTTGCTGCTGCGCGCGCCAGCCCGCCCGCTCATGTAGCAGCTCATGGTCCCGCCGCTTTGGGGCTGTTAGCGGCGCTCGTGCTCCCACTCCCACTACCCTCGGAGTTGCCGCTTCTATTGCCGCCAGAGTTCGATGTGGCTCCGAATGCCTCTGCAAACGAGAGGGGTACCGAAAACGAAGCACGGCTGGCGCTACACGCTATGACGCACCTGACGCTTCGCGACGTCGATTTCGCGGAAGGATTCGGGGTTGCACTTGCCAGCACATTGGAGGCACGGGCGGCCTCACACGGAGTGGCAGGCGTTCAGTCCATACGTCTCGAACAGTGTGCTATCTCCGAGGCCCAGGTCGATGCGCTTCGCTCATGTCCCGCGATCGGGATTGTAGAGTGGGACGGACTCTGCACGGTGGAGACCTCAAGCGCATCTGCATGAGATGCAGATGTCGCCACAAAACACCCCCCCCTTTCTGGATCCAGCTTTGTCTTCTTGTGAAATACTTTCCTTTACGGTCTGCCGGGCTCTTGCACAAACTATCCCCGTCCTACTCATTCTCGTACTTTTCCCCTCCTATTCTTCCCAGCTCGTAGTTCGCATAATGCCTCGCCCTTCGTTCTGCTGTGCCATACTTAGACCCGTACGATTCGTGGATTGCCTCTTGCTCTGTAATACCGGAACGCTCTCTTACCCATTTTGCCATTCATCGTCACGCTCGCACCTCTCTCACACGCACGCATCCCTCTCGCCCTCATCCTCGTCTCCCTGTAGCGTATACACCTCGTTCCGGTTTCTCTTTGGACCGCTTCCATACTTCTCCCACTCTTGTGTCGCCCATTACCCCTGCTCCCTTTATATTGCTCTCTTCGCGTCGAACGCTTCTTCCCATGTTATAATGTAGATAGTTCGCCCTCCGTTGGTGTAATTGCACAGTTCATTCGGATATCCTTTCACTATTCCATCACTGGAGCCTGTTGGCAATGGCTCGCTTCTTTATTTATCTATTGTTATGGCAAAAGAGCAATGCTCGATCTATCACAGACTGCTGTCCGCTATTTGCGATGGCTTGCAGCTTGTCAAAGCCTCCTGAGGGGTGACCAGTCACAACTTTCACAGCGCGAGTGCCCACCTTGTTATATATCTTATATCGGTATTGCTGACCCAGGAAGGCTTATCTCGTGCCTGCGCGTCCTTGTCTACCTTTGACTCAGCTCGTCGCAACTTCTGACGTGCGTCGTCGTTCGCGTCTCGCAAACGCAACTTCAGCATGTCACGGTACCGCGTCGATGTCGAACGTGCCTGGCCGTTCGGCGCGTCCGGCGCGTCCGCGTCGACAGGCTCTCTTTCCGACCATCATGACAGTCATTTCTATGCTCTCCTTTGGTGGCTTTGCAATATACATATAGCCAGAAGGCATACGTCTGGCCGCATCACGGATGTCAATTGCTTTTAACCTTCTACGAGGGAAGCACCGCGTCATATCGACCATGTCCTGACGTCTGGCGAATGGTATTGTATCTGTGAAGTTTTGAAGCCTAGAAGGTGAGGGTGAGTATTGTATATCAGCGGATATAATAAATCTGACACATTATAAAAGATATCTGCGTCTATATGTAGCGCACCGGTGCTATGCTTGGCTTGATAGAACGAGCGCACTATGCGCGCCACAATCTCCGGAATTCACGCTAGACATCCGACCGAGGGATTCTTCCGCCACGCTCTGCGTCCTCGCCATATTTCGGATATATCTCGCTCCTAAATATCGTCCGCTGCCAGCATTGTCGTCCGGAATGACGACGAGGGCATTCATCGCCGAACTTGTGCCGATTTCGTTCGACGCATGTCATATGCTCGACGCCCGCCCTCCTTCTGGTGGCCATTTCCTATCACCATCAGACGAGGAGCTATTCACAGCTCGGAAGGCCATCATGCATCATGTATAGAGTCAGCTTTGAGCGTCTTCTGTCGAGGTTTAGCCGCTTTGATCTCTGTCGGTGCCGAGGTCATTGAGGGCGACTTCTGCCGATCTTAGGTTGTTTCTAACGACGCAATACCTGGTGTTCCCGCCGCCCTTGGAACCAGATATGGCGCTCGGTGAAGAGCTTCAGGTGAGCTACTACACAAACGAGGACGTGAAACGACTCAAGCGTCCGATAGTCTAGCAACCAGCTCCTCTATTCCGCGAACCTACTCGGGGTCTGGGCCAACTATAGCCCTCGCCTTACCTCGGATCACCTCGATCCACGAAGTCACCAGATCCTTCAATCGAGCTGGTTGTTCTCGCAATGCATGCTCAAGCAGCACCTGGCGCCTGACCCCGGTGTGCTCGGATGGCAGGTGCACCTCAAGAGAACGTACGGATACTCTAGGCACATGCAATTCGATTATCTGAAGGATAGTTGAACTCTCGAAGTTCATCCAGGAGCCGCCCTTTCCGCCTATATATCATGCTGTTTCGTCAATGGCTCAACATCGTTCGCCCTTCCTCCGAAGCCATGTCCTCACTCCGGTCCTTCGTGTTGGCCGCGGTCGTTGCTGCACCTGCTCTCGCAGTGAACACTGTCGACCTCCTCATTGACCACGGCTATGCTTCCAGCGGCGACATCAACCTGCGTAGTGTGCTCGCATCCGTGGCAACGCGTAAGGGCCAGACCTTCCACTTTGGCTCAACCTACGACACGTACAACCCGAATGCAGCTTGGACAGCCGATGTCTTCAGCGCGTTCTTCAACCATATCGTTGCGGAGAACGGGTGCAAGTGGGACGCGACAGAACCGAGCAATGGGGTCAGCGACCTCACGGAGTGTCTCGCCGTTCAGAGCTACGCCACCCAGAACGGCGACAGCTTCCGTGGACACAACACCTTTTGGCACTCTCAGACGCCGGTAAGTGCTGCTCTTCTCGTCAGACCCTCGGCTTCCGGCTCACGTGGAGGCTTTTGTAGAGCTGGCTTCCGGGGAGCTTCAGCGCCAGCGACGTCGTGAACACCATCATCCCGACTCATGTGCAGCAGGAAGTTCAAGGAATGGGCTCTGCCGTCACATCGTGGGATGTTGTGAACGAGATCATCGGAGACGGTGTCTCCAGCGGTATGACGCCGTTACAGTGCGTCCAAAACAAAGGCGACTGGCCAACCGTAACCTCCGATGGCTCCGGTACTCCGCTGGTCACGGACCTCTCCTTCGTCTACGCAGCCTTCAACACAGCCTTCAAGTACGCGGGTAACTCGACGCGCTTGGCGCTGAACGACTACAACACCGGTGACTCAATCTGCACCATCTCACATCCAGAGTACTGAAACGGCTTCGCACAGGTGGAAACGACGCCAAGACCGCGTGCTCCATCGCCCTCATCAAGGACATCCAGACGAACACTGCTATTCCATTCGATCGTCTGGCCGTAGGCTTCCAGAGCCACGTCCAAGACACGTACTTCGTGAGCAAGGCAGCGCTCCAAAGCACATTCTCCACGCTCGCTGCACTCGGTGTCGAGGCCATGGTTACCGAGCTCGACATCTCGCTCTCCTCGACTACTACCGACGAGCTTCGTTTCCAGGCTGCCATTTGGGGTGACTATCTTGACGTGCGCCTACTATCTTCTGGTTGCGATACGTCAGACACTGACAGACATTGCAGGCTTGTTTGTTCGCGAGCAACTGCAACGAGTTCATCAACTGGGACACCCGTGATGACACCTCCTGGTGAATTTCCTGCTGAGATCCGCCGTTCTATGTACTCACATCTTGTCTCTCTAGGTTGGGCACAAGCAAAGCGGGTACTCTCTTCGACTCCAACGGTTCGCCGAAACCCGCAGCATATGAGGTCGCTGCACGTTTGGCCTACTACGCGAGCGGCGGCGCCGAGCTCTGCGCTACCGCTCTGGGTACTGGCTCGTGCACGATCTCTACTACTGGTACAGGATCCACGACATCAGCGGCGGCAACTACGACGAAGACATCGTCGGCACCAGCAGCAACGAGCACTGGAGGCTCGTCTGGATGGTGCGTATCTCGTTTCGTCATAGTCGTTTCAACTGGCTAACAGACGGTCTGTTCTAGCACAACGCAGATCTACGGCCAGTGCGGAGGTATTGGATTTAGTGGATGCGCTACATGTGCCTCAGGAACTACCTGCAAAGTGGCCAACGACTGTAAGTGGCACAGAAGCGGAAACGTTCCGCCGTACTGATTTGTGTCCTTCCAGATTACTCGCAGTGTTTGTAAGAGGTTAGAAAGGGCGGAGCATTGGGCCTATTGGGACGCTTGATATGGGCTGTGTGTTGTACTTGGGTCAAGATAGGGTAGATACTGAACATCATTGTGAAATATTGCACGCTGCATGCGTCACACGGTGCTCATGATCAAGGAATTCAAGGGTTTAGTAAGTAAAACGCCGCAACTGACCTGTCTATGATTGACCCCCTCTGCAACGACGCGCTACGATACAACCATCTTTGGCGTGACATGAATAGTTGGTGACGACTCAGAGAAATGACCGGTCATGGTATTCCATTGGGCAACGCGATCAAGAATGGTTTACAACAGGTTTATCTACAACGTACTAGGAAGCAGCCCATTCACATCACCCCGAATGCGCCGACTTAAGCATTGACAGCGTTGCAAGCCTGAACATTTAGCTACACCATAACAATCAGTATCAATGCTACAGAGTCAGTGGCAGAGGAGACTTACTCCGCTGAAGTGGCTACCGTTGCAGCACACGTTTTGCTGGTTGCACGACACGCTACCGGAGCCCGAGCAGACGACAGCGACCCCATTGTTCGCCGCCTGGGCCTGCTGAAGCGCGACGATTTGAGCGGGAGTGAAGCCCAAGAACAGCAGGTAGATGTAGGTGTTCTGTGCGGAGAGTTAGATAAGAAGAAGGCAGGAGCGAGAGGTCGTACGCGGGTGAAGTTCGTGCTGCTGGAGGACTGGACGCTGTTGCAGCACTGAACGCTACCGCCGCCGCAGTTGCGCTTGACGAGCTCAAAGTTGCTCTCCGCATCAGGGGAAGGAGTGGCAATGACGCCGAGGGCGAGAGTGGCGATAGAGAAGATAGCGGTGAAGGCACGCATTGTGGGTTGAGATGGGTTGGGATGAGATTGGGTTCGGTGGGTTGAGGAGTGCTGAGATGAAGCGCTGAGATGCACATGAATGTATTTGCCATCTTATATACAAGCGCGTGGAGGGGTACAATACATAGGAGGATGAACGGAGGCAGAAGTCTATACTTACTCGAGGTAGCTGTGCAGGGTCCTTAGACATGAACCAAGTAGGTCAGGTTGCTCCTGTGAGTAGTGTACTGCACCAGATCAGAGCTGGCGTCACTCTTCAGAGTATCAGCAATGATGGTAAAGTCTCTGTGCAGATGTATACTGTCGTGGTACATAGCCAAGTTCAAGTGCACGAACGACGCGCGACTCGCGCCCAACGCGTATCGGCGATCTCGGGCCGGCCCTTCACACCGTCCGGCGCAACTTGCTCCTGACTATGTATGCCGAAGGCACTCAGATATACACAAACTTGCCGCGTACCAGTGCACTCTACCCCTACGGGAGATCCTCCTTAGACTACAATGTCATCGTATACAGCGTGGATAGTAGATAGATACAGTAGAGTCGTCAAGATGCGGAAACCTGGAAACCCAGGATCTCTCCTATGGTTGTGACCTGGTAGTCGTAGCTAGACCGTAGCCACAAACATGTGGCTGACGTATATTGCACAGGAGGGTATGCAGAGTGCTTAGAGTAGCTGTTTTACAAGGCGGCCTTGCCAGCGGTCTGTGAACTATGATCAGCTGGAGGAACGATACAAGCTGCCGTGCGAATCTTACCTCGATGGGTAGCAACAACATCACGATGCTGGCCGCGAGGAACAGACTCGCAGAGACGAAGATGGGTCTATGTGTCATTGTCAGGCTGATACAGTGCCACAGCAACATGAAAAGTGCGTACGCGTTGGCATTGGAGGCAGTCGTATCTCCGCTGGTGAGGGCAATCTTGATGATAGGTGCGAGGATACCTGTTATTCGGTTCGTCGCACTGGCGAGAGCGTCTCCAGTTCCTGCACGAGAGTAAGCCCAGTGTATGCAACCTGATAAGGGTTCGGGAGACCGACCTCGATGGGGCGCTGGGAAGACCTCCGGTGTGTATGCATACAAAACTCCATACATCGCGTTCGAAGTGAGTGCACTCGCGCAGTTATAGCCGAGAACACCCGCCTGGTTCGTCGCCGTTGTGAACAAGAACAAGAAGACTCCTGTAAGCGCGGTAGATACTGCCATAGCGAACTTGCGACCGCCAAGGACGAGACCAGATCGGCTGCGTCGTGTTTGGTCGACGATGATACACGCGATGATGGAGCCGGGGATACCGAGGACGGAGATGATGGAGTAGTTGCGGTAGGTCTCGTTGATGCTGCCGCTCCCGCCAGATGTGCGCGCCTTGAGATAGAGCGTGATGAAGCCTGCAATCATGAGTAAGCGCGGGAAGGAAAGGTTTACTACATGCGTACCGTTGAAGAGAGGGTATGCAAGCCCGATCAGACCCCAGAGAGTGATTGTCAGGCTGGTGTTGATTGCCAGGGTACGTGTTGCGAAGAGGGGCTGAACGTGCTTGAAGGATAGTTCGGATAGTGAATGCCTGACAAGCTCCACGGCGCTCAATCCGCGGGGATGGTCGGATGTGCCACCAACTGCTTCAAGCTTGGCGAGGGTAAGAGTGATCGTACGACCATTGCGCGCGGCGATGTACTCAAGCACCTTCAGAGGACTGTCAGCACTTTGCCGACATAGACTGGGAGAGCAAGCTGACTTTGATGGCCTCCTCATCGCGCCCCTTTGCAACAAGGAACTTGGGAGACTCCTGTAAGTTGAACAGGAAGAAGCGCGCGATGAACATCACGAAGGTGACTCCGCCACTAGATAGTAGGTTAATAGCCGCTCAGATCCCTCAAAAGGTCACATACAATGTATAGCTGTTGTATGACGTCAGTAAGAATACGTGAAAGGGCGCATACAGTAGAGTACGTACACGGAGTATCTCCAGCCCATGTTATCGGCCTTCAAGCAAGGGTCCGCGTCACTTGCGCAGGAGAAGTTGTCGATAAGGGGCCATGCGACGAGAGAAGCGAAGAGCTGGCCAAGAGCCCACCATGCCGATAGAAGCGTCAGAAGCCATTGATGTGTTTTGGGGATGACTTCGAGGAAGATAGCGCCTACAACAGCTATCAGTGATGGCAATTCAGAGTTCAGTTTCAACCCTCGTACCATCTACAGGTAGACTGCAAGAGAAGTGTCAGCGCTGAAACTCTTGGACGCACGGCGTTGGAGATACGTACTTGCCGCCAACCCCAAATCCGATACAAGCAACCAAAGCCGCCAGTTGGGTGAAAGTGCCCGCGCCACCCGCAGCAATCCCGAACACGCCGGCGATGAACAGCGTGATATTGAACGATAGCCGCCGACCAACGACATCGGCCATGATGCCCCAGGTGGAAGCGCCTACGATAAGGCCTGCATACAAGGCAAGTGTGGTGTATTCGACGTGGGTGACGGGAAGCTCCACCTGAATCTGTGGGAGGATGATGGCTACACCTTGCAACCAGATGTCTAGAACAGGAACCATGGTAAGCGCTGGATCTGTCAGGATAGAGGCCAAGGAAAACGAGACGTACTGTCGGCCATCCATCCGAGTCCGGAGAGCATGAACACTCCCCACTGATATCGCCCGAACCCGATCCTGCAGAGTCTGTGAGTTGAAGTCGAGGAATGTCTAGCGCGAGACGTACTCGTTTTGAAAGCACTCGTTGACTGCAGCGGCTGGTCAGAAACTTGTGATCATATGGTCAAGAAGGGAACGTACTGAGTTTGCTCTTGATCTCGTACGCCGACGATACTGCCGCCCGCTCCTTGGCGTAGTCCTCGGACGAGACAGTGTCGAAGGTATCGAAAGCAACCTCCTTGTTCTCCTCGAGTCCCTTCTCTCCGAACTGTGCATTTCGCTCCTCGTCCATCATCGTGAATGTTCAATAGTGACGACGGGTAGGAGTGCGGAGATGATGGTAGGAGAAAAGCTGCAAAACGATGCGTCCCAACCCCGGAAAGAGAAGTAGGGTACATGAGTTCCGAGCATCATTCACGGGGCACATTTTTCATCTGATGCTCCCGACAGGACGAAGAGGCGCGCGACACCAGGTACATTGCCGGCATACGAGCATATTCCGCAAATGGTAATTCAAACCTCCCGCAAGAGACAATTCGAAAGGCCGGAGGACGCACGTTCGTACTTCCGGCCGGAGAGACTCGAGGCGCCGGGAGCAAGAAAATCGATACGCAGCTCCGGAATAAACTGCAGGGTTAAAATATCCAAAACCCTTGCATACTGTATCAAATAACAGAGGTGCGCGTCATGCCACAGTTCCCCGAAGCAGTGGTGGATCGCAGCCAAGACGCGCGACGCGTTGCCGCCGGAAGTCGTTCGCGTGACGTCAGTTTCAACGGGAAGCCAGGCACGACACGGTACCGTGATCATTTTCCTGTGCATCGGCCGCCCCGCTCCGTATGCCGGAAGACTTCCGCGCGGAACATGAGCATAAGCCAAGAATTGAGAGAAGGCTGGATAGGCTGGAAAAGTACCTAAAGAAGCCATACGTCATAGAAATATAGTGTAGTACATACAACACATAGCACGACAAGGATAAAGAAAAAGTCGATGGGCTCTGGTAACTTACATGCGGGGGAATTGAACCGAGGTGAGCCTCTCGCGGCTGTGCGCGTCACCAAGTGCGGGCCGATCATTCGTCCGCAACGTTCACCGAGAAGTCCGGGTCGTACACGATGGTAGCGGGGCTCCTTGGCGTAGCGTCAGTTCTACTCTGTCAAAACAACGGGACCTTCAAACAACATACCTCTTCTCGACCCCATTCTAGATCAGGGAGAGAAGCAGTTCAGTGCCGCTTGAGGTTGCGCTTGCGAAGAACGAACGCACCTTGTCCGTCCATGCGAGCTCGGCCTTGAACTCGGTAAGACCAAATGAGAGCACCACTATAGCCTCTATGAGAAAGTACGTCCCCGCAGGTCCTTGCTCCTGAGTACGGGGCGCTTTCTTGAGGTTTGCTTCAACTTGACAGAGTGTGGTGAAGCGGGCTGGAGACAACTCATCAGTAACGCGTACACACCGTGTTCTGCACGCAGGAAATTCACCTTGTTCTTCGTCGACGAACATGGGAGGTGATGTCCCACGGTATGCGACGATGTCAACGTCGGTCTTCCATCCATTCTGGCCACCCGCTAGACGGAACATAGATATCTCCTTTCTGAACTCTTGTGTTTCAGATACAGCGGTCCCCTGCGGATCGTAAATTGGTCATAAGAGAGGGAGAGAGGGCGCTGAAAGAACACTTACTTGTGTGAGTATCTCCCTGAAGGCGTTCGGAAGCCAAAGTTCTCCGTCCATGCTTCGGTACATGGTCATCACCCGATCCCGCACCTTCTGCGTCGGGGGCATGAGCATGAAGGGGTAGGCCGGAACAGATACGACGGTGCCGTAGGTGAAGCGAGCTACGCGAGCAGAGACGAAACGGTCGAGGTAGAACGAGACAGCGCCCTCAGCCACAGCCTTGTTCCTATTTGAGACTGAGTTTGGATATTACTAACACGAGTTGAGCAGTGAATCAGCTTACGGTGATGACCCAGGGCGATACAGCTTCAGTCCATCTTCATCCAAGAAAGTCTTCAGGCGATCGTGAAGGTACTCGCTCGCTGCGTAGCCTCCAACAAGGAAGTAAGTCTGGCGGGGCAAGATGTGAGCATGTGAGCAGCGGTCATACCAATAGCTCAACAGCTGCAATCACATTGATCTCGCCGCGCGAAGAGCCTGCTTCGCGTTGAGCTTTGATCGCCTCAGTTAGGGCGTCAATACCGGGGTCGAAGAACGAGCGCATCTCCGATCTAGTACAAGTCGGCAGTTATCAGCCATGTGTACGGTTGGCGTAGGCGCATCACTTACTCGCTAAGCGTTATGCGTCCGTTGCGAATACCCACAGAGGCATCGGTGTCCCGAAGGTTGTGACTGAACTTGATCGCCGCGTTGCCAGAACCTTTGAAGCGTTTCTTTGCGGTCTTGTCGAACTCATTCGCTATGGCATCTACGCAGCCTTCCGTTCCAAAGGTCGAGTTACGCAGCTTCGCTATACAGAAGAAGTAAGACTCGGAAAGAAGTACTGTCAAGATTGCGTGCGCAGTGCTGACGTACCCTGAACGTGGGTGTGGGCACGGTGTCTAACAATGACCGATCCCTCGACGAGACCTGCGCGCCACTTCAGTCATCTTCTGGTAGCGGTCCGAAGACATATCACCACTTACAAGCAGGCGCCGCCATCTCGACAGCCTTGATAGGCTTGGACGACTCGAAGCTGTAAGTGCTCAGATCAACGGTGCCGCCGCCCGCGTCGATGATCATGATGTTATCTCCAGCCTGTGAAGATCATCGCTCAGAGACGCCCATGCTGAGCACGCCGATAGCGTACCTCCAGTGAATGGCCGTTCGAAACGCAGAAGTGCATACTGGCCTCTCCCTCAGTCACGAAGCTGAGGCGCGTTGATCGAGCGTCCTTCTCTTTCAGCAGACCAGCTTGAACAGCGGCCTTGCGCATGAGTTCCTGCTGAGGCCCTTCCCATCCGTTCGGATGACTCAAGACGAAGTCTATATCGTTCTTGACCGAATCCCAGACCAAGTTACCCATTGCGGTCATGTTGACAGACTCCTTGATATATTTCTCGGCGCATGTGTTGAGATACCGGTAGAAGTCTGCGAAGACGTCGACTATGGTCTTCGAGGGAGGAAGCTCGGTCTTGCGCATCGCAGAAGGGGCCGTCCGCGGTTGTAGAAGGAGTTTAAACCTTGAGGAATCCTTATGAGTGCGTGCATGGAAGACAGACAAGTGGACGCGTACCATTCAACCCTGATGGGCAACGCATCGTCGTCATCCTCATCTCCTAGCTCTGGAGGCAACTCTTCCCCGACTGCCAGAACCTTTCCACTTCGATCGTAGTGGATGACAGTAGGAATCTTGGTATCGTATGTATCCTGTCCCGGATATCTGGTAGGGCACAGTCAGCGATAGACATGGGAAGGTAAGATACGACGACTGACCGTCCCACAGTCTCGACCTTCGGCGGCTTATTCGGATCAAGGACGGCGAAGGACACTCCACTAAAGGTCGTCCCAAGATCGAAGGCGATAACGAGTCGACGCTTGTTGCCACTGTAGGGAGAACGCTGTTCCATCTCGAGAGTCGTAAGGTGGTGGATGAACAGTGTCGTCAACACCGGCGCAACATATATATAGACTGCTGTAACCAAAGGTATCCGACATTCCAGGGCCACGTGTTGTAGGGTGATCGAAGGCGCTTGTCGAGGACGGGGGAACGCCTTGGGCTATATTGGTATATATCGGGCGTAGAGGCAACCTAATCTCCTAGGACGGGTGCCACGGGTTGTAGTGTATCCATCGAAGCCGCTGGGAGGATAGAAGTTCATAAGCCAGGGCGCAGGATGCGTTGTGGACCCTTCCTCCTCCTTTGACGTCCCGACGCGCGCGAACATGTTCGAAGGGATCCTCGGTCTCGCCGGCCGTTCGGACCAACAATCCAAGGACACCAGTCAGGACACCGTGCGCAAGGTAGGTGTGGCATCGGTTGGTCCTCGACAAACATGCTGATCCCACATAGATGCTCGCTGATGAGATGGAAACACGCCTGCAGAAGCTCGACCACGCGGCGCGACAGTGTGAAGCTAAGGCGAAGGAGTTGCGGAACATGCAGTACAAGATCACAGACGAGGTGGATGAAGCGCGCGCCATGTACAAACAACTGCGGGCGGCCGAGGAAGGCGCCGTGTCGCAGCCAGGGTGTAAAGATGAACGCGGACGCAAGGAGGTCGAGGAGCTGCACAGGGAACTTGATGACTTGCGACGCGAGAATGTTCGAATGGCGGCATCGTTGGCGGAGCGCGAGCGGGCGGCCCAGCACGCTTGTCGCGAGCGAGACGAAATGGCACAGCTCCTGGCGCAACGAAGTGCTGAGCTCGAGGCGGCACAGGCGTTCCTCCCACGCTCCGAATCGGTCTCCGACAGTGATGTTGTCGAGCTCGTCGAGGCGCTCAATTATGAGATAATGCAGGCGGCGACGACCGTAGCGGAGTCTTTCGACGGAGCTCATCGCGTAGCGGTCCCGCCCGAGACTTACGCCACAGAGCTGAAAGCGAAAGAGAAGGCGTATGGGCCAAGTATCGCGCGCTTACTCCTTGCGCCTTCCGACGGGGACCCTGTTCTGTTTCTGCGTGTTGCGCTACAGGCTGTGCTGGCACGTCAAGCCGAGGCCTATATCGTACGTTGGTGCTATCGCGATCTGGCTTCGTCGAACGCCATGCGCAAGATCATGCGCCTGGTGCGCGAACACGGTAGGTAATCGATTACTGGCGTGTATGCGACGTCTAATCACGACTGTCTTCATGCAGAGTCTGAACACGTCGCGGTACGTTGGAGTGAGCTCGGGCACAGATATGCCAGGGCAGCCATCGACAAAGGCATCACAGCTGATGCTATCACCACGGATATATCGGCGCACTGGGCGGATGTTCTCTCAACGGGTGGTTACGCTTTGGAAGGAGATAGCACGTACAGACAGTCCCTTATAACTTCGCACGCCAGCAAACAACTCGAAGAGGTGTCGAAGCTTGTCTTGGAGTTGAACAAGGTGATTGGGCAAAAGGTGACGCGCGGTTGGCTGCGTTGCATGCGAGTGGAGGACGGGGCAGCCTTCGACCCGAATGCGATGGAGGCGGACATTCAGGACGGGACCGCGAACGGACAAGACCAAACGCCGGCATATGTTGTCTTGTGCACGAGCGGGATCGGTCTTAGACGCGCGGAAGGAGGTGTAGTGACCACATTGGTGAAGCCGAAGGTCGTCGCCGTACCCGCAGGAGCGTCGCAGTAGAATCTATAAGCCTCGCATATTCTTGCATTTTTCTTGCATATGGAAGCTTGTGTTGAATATGGTGGACGTATAGCCAGAGATGTGAAGAATTATATTGATATACAGTGCCGCGGAGGTGGGAGTTCGGCGAGAAGTGCGGTGAGCGCACGCCGCGGCGGGCAGGCCAAACGGTGCCGCCGGCCCGACGCAGACCTCAGCCTCGACTGGCATCAGCACTTCGGTAAAACCGCCGACGCTCCACCGACGCACATGGATGCCGACAGATCCTTGTCGGCGCACCGGTGGCGTCGGTGGATGTTGGTAGGTTCAGCGTGTCGGTAGTGGACACAGGTTGACGAGGGGATGGAATCATGTTATTACAGTCAAGAAAGGGGATATGTCTCATATGTATGGTAATCAGAGTACTTGTTTAAGTAGTAGGAGCTGTAGGCGAGGTGTGCGAATGCGAAATGGAACCCGTCGGGTACCGGAGAGTGTCCATATGCGGGTACAAGGTGGCAGGCGCGAACAATGGAGTCCGTATCAATAAGGTCAATCGGGCGCTCATTGCCCTCTATCTCAGGCTTGACAACCCACATGCCTGTGGCTGCGTCAGGGAGGTCTGCTGCAGGTTCGAACCACTCGACGACAGCACACGAGTGGGGGATACCATGATACTTGAACGAGATGAAAGCCAATACGCGAGCGACAAGCATGCCACCCATCAAATCGTCCTCGTCGTGGACCTGAACTAACACGGTATCGCGCCGTTCGTATTTCCCATACCAGCGTGGTGTGCTGCGGATGATCTCCGAATGCATCCCACCAGGTCCACCCAGTTCACTGGGAGCGTAGAACAGAGCCCTAGCACTGGTATGTACAGCAACATTACCGTGGAAGTCCGGAAGATCCTCGAGATCCATGGGTTCGTCGGAGCTGTCGGTATCTGCTTCACTGTCATCGGCATGTAGTCTCTGGTGGATGTGTCGGCGAATGAGATGCGGCAGCGCGGCCTTGATGCGGGGTTTGAGCTTCAAGCGGAAAATCTTGCGCGAGTGATCTGCGAAAGTCATAAGCACATGGCATTAATCAAGCAAATCTGAGCGATTACGGACTGTACTTTCGCGACAATGTTATGGAGGGAGGCTGTGGCTCCATGCTCCCACTGGAACCTACATCCGCATCGTGGCGTTCGTCCCGATCCTGCTCATCCTCCGAGTCACTGCTATCGGGATTGTAGAGCGCGAATGCTAAGCTCGACTTCGCGCCGCGGTGCCGCTGTCGCCGGCGGGAACGGAGCTCGCCGTCAGAAAGATCTCCGTCTGAGAGTGTGTCGAGATCGGTCTCCTCTCCGGAGAGGTCCTCACTCGATGGTTCGGGCGTGGATATCTCGCCGCTCTCGATGGCCACAGTCAGCAGTGCAGCCTCCAGTACGTCGCCACCGCGGAAGAGTCCGTGACTGGCAAACTCCTCGCGTGACGCACGCATCTTGGACATCCTCTCGTTTGTTTTGAGGATCTGCGGCAGCGGATTGTTGCGGTTCGAGCGTCGCCATGGCCGTTTGACGGCCCGAATGTGTGCGGACTCTGTTATGGACGTCGATATACCATTCGGAGCGCCAAATAAGCGTATGCACTCTGCGTAATGAACGAGCGCGTGCTGGCGTGGAAGCGCAAAGTGATCGCGTATATCCTCCTCGCGGAACACTTCGCGGAGATCATGAAAGTCGCGAAGCGCACTTTCCAGCTTGGCGAGAGTCGTCTCGCTATGAGATGACAAGCGCGCAATGTAGCAAAAGTCCATGAAAGAACGAATTGCCTGCACGACCTTGACAGGCACATAGCCAACGATTGCCGGAAGAAAAACCTATTAATCGATCAGACGAGAGTTGCGTGAATGATATGACAAGTAGCACAAACCTTCATGAGTGCCTTTGAATCATTTCCCGTCCATTGTTTGAAGTTACGGCCTTGCTTGAAGCGGCGCAGGCCGGGAAAGGCAGGACAGCAGCGCAGACTAGATACTCAATCAGCACAGTTCCATGGTCACAAAGTGTGGAGCCGAGTATACCGTTCATCAATATCAGCGATGATCTCAGCAGCACGGTCCTTGCTATTGTTACCGCGGATATACGCAAGGACCCACTCGACAAGGTGATCCTTGAAAGTGCCCTTGATGACCTGATGCAGGAGGTCTGGCGCCAGGAGTTCGTGAATGTTGGCACGCGGGAAATGCTCGGTGAAGGGCTGATTGACATTTGGCAGTCAGACTCAGCTCGGGAAAGATGAGTCGAAAGCGGGTACATACAGTAACACCAGGGGCAATCCCAAATGCATCCCATAGAAGATTGGGATCATCATCGTACATGTTACAGAGATGCTCGGTGAACTCGGGCGTGCGCGTTCGACCGTGATCCGATTCGGTCAAGTCGGCCATGCATCTGGAGTGGCATATCAGCACGACTGACTGTGGGTTGAGAATGAAGAACATACTTGGGACACCAGCCACTGACGATGCCTGTTAGATAAACCTGTTCGGGATAGTCCGCGATAAACGGCCCCAATGAATAGATGACCTTTCGATAGTGGCCGTCCGGGCAAAGTGTGACGCGCGGGGTTATCATATGCGATTTGAGCGGCTGAAGAATGCGGGCGATCGAGTCGTGGTACAACTGCTTCTTGAATATGCGGAACTCTTCTGTATCATCTGCAGTGGTCCCTGGATGCATCATCAGTATAGAAGCCATGATAATCCTATAGAACGAAGACCTTTGGGGATTGCAAGGAAAGCAATGGGAGCCAGTACGTCCGAGTGCCCTCGGCGCACATCATTATGAAAACAGCTTGCAGACGCATACAGCGGGTGGAATTCCTGGTCGCCGGTGCCAACCGAGACGGTGGTCTTGTCTGCTCCGAGAATGGAAGCTACGAGCATTGCGCCATGTGTGGCCTGATCCGCGGCTATCTTTGTCTGGAGAAAGACTCAGTGAAAGTAATTTGCCGAAATCAAGACAACGTACCGCTTCTCGCCACGCCCAACGGCCGGTGTTGAAATTAGAGTACCGAATTTGATGGTCGCTGGTATACTCCCGCATGGGCGCGTGATCAAACTTGTTCTTGAGCGCCGGATTTGCAAGCTGGTTCTCGAACGTCGTAAGGGGGTTGCGTGCGTATATTGTGTACACGCGGCGCTTCCAAGCAGGAGCATCATCTTCAATTGGGCCATCCCAACGCAGGGTGAATGAGTACCAGGCGTTATCGCCATAAGGGAGGGCATCGATTGCGGCGACCATCTCGTCGTAATCCTTGAATGGCGGCTTACCCGACTTCCCTAGGACATTTTCCGCAGCCCATATACGCAGAAGCTTGTCCACTTTTGCGCGCGCGAGATCAGCCTCTTCGTAGTTGACCTCCGCAAACTCAAAATGAGCACGCCGTTCAAACGGGCCAAAGCTCTCAAGCTTCTCGCGTGGGGGTGGTGGGGTACCATTGGCCAGAAAGTTGCCATCAGCATCACAGATGCGACCTATGTTGACCGTTCAGTATGCATTTCAAAGGGGTCCAGTGGCAGACGTACCATTCAGATGAGGGTGGATGCGTATAGTTGTTGATACGCGTGGTTTGGGGTTGCGATGAGAAGGGAGATGAAGCCGATATCGGCGACGGTTGATGAAGGTCTGTTCGCACTCGTCGCAGAAGACGGTCATCGAAAAGAAGGGTTGGTATAAGTGACTGGCTGGGTAGAGATGTACAGGAGGGGCGGGATCACAGTATTTGAGGGCGTAGATGGGAGACGGGAAGAAAGATAGCGATCAGGGCAATAACACGCTCCAAGAGCTAAGGGGCCGATGAACCACGCCGCGCCAGCGTCGGGAGACTTCGGCGCGCTTCTATCTCGACCAGTCATGCACCCTTCTCGCCCTCGTCGTGCAGCCGCTATTGCAGCTTCGGACAAGGCTGCAAAGCAGTCCCAAGCATCTAAGAAGGCGTCAAATACCGGCAAAGGCAAGCCAGCGCTGAAAAGAGCTGCATCAACGGCCGAGCCGGTCGTCGACGAGTCGCCTTCACCAACTACGACGAACACCGCTCTTCGCGGCAAGCGGTCGCGCACTCGCCTCGAAGCACCAGAGGAGGCGAGTCCATCTATTTTATCTCATCCCCCGAATTCTGCAGTCCCGCGTCCGCCGAGCCCTCGCCGTACTCGGGCAAACAACCCTATCCATCCACTGGATAAGTTCAATATGCGGAAGCGCTTTATGACGGACATACGCGCAGCCAAACTGGCCAGGGAGGCCGCTGAGGAGGTGGAAAGACAGCGGAAACGGGACCTAGAAGCAGCAGCCCTGCGCGAGCGAGAGTTAAAAGTCGCTGCAGGCCAACAGGCGATTCAGCAGCTCTTTGCTCGGCACGCAATGGCTACTGAGGCTGAAGAGCTGGACATGCTCTGGAGACCGGAGTTTGCTGACAGAACAGCTCAGGACAACATGACTGCGACGGACAAGGTCGCCGAAGCAGACGGCGAACTTGATGAACGGGCGTCTATCGGCGCACCCACGCACGGACCGCCTGCCAAAGTTGTGCGTCTCATGCCCTTCATTATGAATGTTCGCGCACTCATCCTTGTCTTCTTCAACAGGATAAGGCAGATGCTGATAAAGCCCGTCGCAAGCGCGAGAAGGAGAAGCGCGACGCGCTCAAGAAGACTGCCCGGGATGCCGTCGATGCAACCGGGCTTCAGGAAGTTGTGATCAACGAGCCTACTGCACTGTATGTACAACAGTGCTGCACTTCCTCGTCAAGCTATTAATGCCAGCACAGTGGAGACGACGATATGCCGCTCACTCCAGTTGGAGACACCATGGACGTGGATGTTGATCAAGTTGATGGACGCGACGAGCGCGCCAGTCACTGTGACGGAGCGGCACGCGCGGCGGAACCCGACGCGACGTACGTTTGTCTTCTTGACCATCTCCTTCGCCTCATATTCGACTCACATCAAGCTCTAGACCCAAGCCTAAGAAGTTATCGCGCAAGAAACACAACGGCCCCACAGCTTCTCAAGAGCCTGCCGACAAGACCGCTCTCCTCGACGATTGGCGTCAGTCGGTCGCCGACATCGCGGTATCCCAGGCCACCCTCGATGCCGAAGCTACAGCAGCGAGATCATCTTCGACCAAGAAGGGCAAGAAGAAGAAGGCTGCTGTGCGCGAAGAAGGGCTCGGTGATGCTGATGTTGAGACATCGAAGAGGGATGTCACCGCGGCGAAGAAACTGAAGTCGGTGCGTGTTGAAGTCGTCGCGTTCCTATACACTGCATTGTCTGACTTTTACTGTCAGACAGTTGCTCTTGCCGATTCCGCTGAGGTTCCTGAGGCCAAACCGCGCCCGCGCCGTACGCATGCAATTCCACCCGAGAAGTCCAGGTCGGCTGAAGCGTGCCTCCCACCGGTGCTTCTCAACGACAATCTCTTCAATGGCCGCATTGTACCCGCCCTCATCGAAGAAGTTGGCTCGCGCTTCGGAGAGGAAATTTGGGATGTCCAGGAAGGCCTTGCTGACATCTTGAATGAACTCTGCTCGCGCTACGTTCCCAACAACGATTGGAATATTCGTTCCGACCCATCGGACAAGATCTATACGTTTGTAGGTCGATCACTCACTTGCGGTACACCAATCATATATTGACATCGTACCTCATTAGGCTAAGACTAAGGTCGAGTACTGGCGTGTCGCGGCTCTGAAGAGTATCAAGCGAATGGTCAATGCCGTCATGATACGGCTTCCCGACGACAACACGCGCAAGGAAGTCGTTCGGCGAGCTATATCGCCCGGAGGCGAGGCATTCTATGCCCACCCAGACGAAACTCTGGCTGTGAGCTCACTTTGCCATCTCATGGGTGTATCGTCGGGCTAACAGTTCTACAGAATGCGCGTGGTCTTTTCCAGTCTTCGTACATGCTGAAGGGCCTCGCGATGCATCTGGATTCCGTTGAAGGCTCTGAACGTCGTCGTGATCGGCCGCTCGGTGCACTCTGCCTGACATATGTGCAGGTCAGATCCCTCTTCGAGCCTCTTCGCCCGAAGCTAATAGGTCTGACTTTAGGTCCTCTCTGCATTTGATTCCTGGCGAACGGGCGTGGACCGGGACACGACGAAGACGTGGACCGAACTCAAGGTGAAGGGGCTTCTCAAGAAAGCCTGGACAGAGAATATCGAGCGATATACTCGTCACCCGAAGGAGTTTGACGTGATCCTCGCGGCGGCGCACCTGTATCGCCAGGAGCACGGCAAGAAGCACAAGGCTCGTGCGACGACGTCGCATGGTGTTCAACAGTTTATCACCCGTCTTGCACCTCCTAGTAGTGATATCGACCCATCTGACGGCTCTCGTTCGTCTAGCTCTGACGAGGACTCGTCTGAGTAGTCCTGCACTTCGCCAGATAGTCTGTTCTCGCATGTGTTACTCTCGCTCGTTAACTTCTCACTTCCTTCATCGGTATATCTCTCCTACAAATAATCTGTATACCCCATCTACATAATCTGTTCCCTCCCTCTACCCTCTGCTCGCGATAGCATACCTTCCTGCCTGTCAGTTACTCAGGATCTATCCTTGCCTTATGCTTTTCATGATACACGTCACTGACGACCGACACAACTGACCGACCGATACAACTGACCGACCGACACAAGTTATGGCCTCGAAAGACGGTCTGCTGACCACTACCGACGGCATGGAGCACCGACATTGGCCGACACCACCGGCGTGCCGTGTTCGGTGGAGTTCAGTGGGTGTCGGTGGACGTCGGCAGTTTTACCGAAGTACTGATGGGGGACGCTGAGCGCGCACTCAGGTATAAGCTATGGTACTGTGCATAGTCGAGTTGGTAAATGGGTCGTACATGGTGATACAACAGAGGATAGTACAGATGCAAAAAGTTCATAGCGGCTACAAGAATACGGTCTAATGTTCGATACAGCCACATCCCAGTCACTAGTGCGACCTCACTACATCGCCACGGTCACCGCGAAGTCATCATCGTACACTGCAACTCGGCCGACCACCGAAATCACCACGCCGCGCGCCGCTCATGGAAACTGCAGATCAACCACGCATGATCGCGAGTTCAAGCTCGCAACGCAAACACCCATCGGGTGGCCGGTGGTTTCTCTAATCGTTACCTGTGGCTGCAATCATGGCCGTTAACCTGCCTTATAGAGAAGTAGATGCCCACGGCTGCCGTGCCACTGCCGCCTGCTAGTTTGGCGGTGTGCTCGCTATAATCGTAGAGTGGCGAGGCGTATCTGATCCCCTTTAACCTTATTCTCCTTACTAGTACGAGCATGGCGAGTAGTTAGCTGGGAAACTCATCAAATAGTATTACATTGCATAGGGGGAGTCGAGGAAAGCAGTCGCGACGACAGAACAGGCGGCGAACACTACTCGGTACACGACTACAGTCCGAGATCGTTCGAAGTCGAAGACATCTATCCTATAGGAGCCAGCGAGGGCGACATAGTGAAGTATCACTCTTAAGCCACCTCGCCATCGTGCTCTGCAGCAGCAGCAGCATCCTCTACGAAGAGACCCTGAGCCGCAGCCGGAGGTGGCAGCGCCAAAGTGTCGACCGGCTGTATGGGAGTACCTCCAGTAGGCGGCGCAACATCCAG